AGATTTAGTGAAATGGGGACTATAAAAAAACACACACCTGAATGGACATTGGGAAGTCCCGCTCAACCCTGGCTAGTGTGACATGCCACTCTCTTTCTATTATGCTCGCTAATTCTGGTTTGTGGAACAGCAGAGGTTATAACAGAAGTTACTTAATGTCTCCTGTTGTCTGTTGTTCAATAAACTACGAATACAGAAATTCAAGATCCCAGTAGTCATAACCTATAAATAAAATGATAAAATGATTTAATTCAAATAAAAATTAGACAATGTCATGGAAAAGACTTATGTCATTGATGGAATAATTACAAAACCTCTGGATCAATATTACAGAACCGATTTACTTCTAGTAAATCGTATTATACCACCACCAAAATCTGGAAATATGAATAATAGATACTTATAAAAAAAAGTATGGATACAGTACCTGCATCCAAGTATGACTCTTTGTTTTCTCTTCTATCTTCGTAAATAGAGAACTTGGCATGTCGCCAAATCCATCCGGAAAAATTATGGCATTCAGTCTTTTGTCCGCGTCATATTTTTCAGTCTTAGTTAATATGCAGTCGTGGATACTGGGGCTGTAAAATAAATATCTAATTTTAAAACGTGTCAAAAACAAATTAGGTATATAGCCTGGGTGTAGGTGACAATTGTATTACCCATATTGATAAAAACTAAAAAAATGCTTACCTGTCATCGGCAGGTAATCTTCTTCTCTTAGCCTTAAATAAATTTAAAAAAAAAAATATTACATATAGCTATAGAGCACGACATATAGAAAATAAGTCAGGATCTCATTCTGTTTACCCTACTGTTCAGAATCAATATAATTAAATTAATTATCATTTTAATTAAATCTTTGGAAAAGAAATATTCATAAATCAACTCACTGTGTTTTGCTGAAATCGCCCAACCTTCGCTAAGACGTCGTCACCAATTAACAGTTTGATGATGGATGAAGCTATTCCCTGAGGGTGTGATAAAGTAGAAATTATAATGTTATAATGAAGTAATAACTCGGTTTTAACGCCTACTGTGTCATATATGGCTACGACCGGCCTCCTGTGTGTTATTGTGAACAAATGAAATGGAATGAAATGGAGTTTAGCGTCCTACTGTTCTGCTCCTATGCTGGGCTAATGAAGAAGAAATGAAATGAAATGGGGTTTAACATCCTACTGTTCTGCTCCTAACCTGGGCTAATGAAGACGGGCATACGCCATACAGTGTGCTATGAGGGAAATTTTGCCCGGACAGCGGCACTACGGCCTACTCTTATATCGAATTCCAACTGCCAAGGGATCTTTTACGTGCATTCTAATGTATACACGGGACCTCGGTTTTTCGTTTTTTCGGTTATTGTAAACAGAATATACTAAGCCCCACTAATATTGTGTACACCATGCTGACAAAGTGGCATACACATGGATTAACGATACCCTACCATAATTTTTAAAAAATGAAATATGAATTTAATTTAATAATAATAATAATAATAGTGTATATTTATAATGCGCACATTCCATTCGTGTATGCTCATGGTGCAATTGTCAGCACTTCACATATACATGTACATATAATTGAAGAAGTTAGTATGATAGAGTAAATAAGTATGTCTTTAATTGTGACTTGAAAGATTCCAAGCTCTTGGAATTCTTAATTCCTAAAGGAAGAGAGTTCCACAGGGTTGGTACTATGTATGAGAAAGCTCTGTGTCCAAATGATTTAAGTTTATAGGTAGGTACAGATATTCATTCTGCGATCTGAGAGTTCTTTGCAAAAGTTTGGTGGGTTATCAAAAGTGGAACATTGGTGTAAACGGTTGAAAACCCACAAATTTAAATGATTTGGTTTATGTAGTCCACTTACCTTTACCATATGCATTGGCACCAAAATAAGTGCTTTTCAGTGAAGTCATGATCGGTATTGGTATTGTGCCTTCAGAATCGCTAGTACCAATTTTAAAACTGAAATATGGTCAGCTAAGATTTATTAAAATCTTAAAAATTTGAATGATAATATGTCAAATATTTATAATCTGGATGATACCACAAACAAAGTAGGCTATATTTAGTCGAAATTTATCAAATTTCAGTCAGCAAAACAGATAAATCCTGTTTTCTACGGCTGTAATTGTCGGATCTCGGGGTATCACACATCATAATAATCACAAAAATGTTATCTATCGTTCGATTGGTTCTATATTAAAATCCCCCGGAACTAAGTTGCAGATTCACCAATAAAGTGTGCCGTGGCAATGTAAAATCCCCAGCCGCTTCACTTAAGAGTGGTACATTATTTTCCTGCGAGCCTCTCATGTACATAAATGGTAATTTCATTTACATTTCCATAATTTTTGAGTCTGAATCTTTGCAGATATTGGGATTGATATTAAACTATTACAATACAATTGCTAGTAATACATTTACATAAAATAGCAATTCAGAATCGTAGATTGAAGTGGGCTGTATTTCAGCCGCTGGCTGTCCGATTTCATGCTAAAGTCACATGACCTGAAACCCCTATTTATAGGTGAGTAGGCCTTAGTTCAGCTCTGAACTTAGGTCTCATTACACTTGCCCTGTACGTTCAGGAACCGGCCTATTGAATCCATGTCAAAAAACTTTCGAACTCCAGTCAATTTTACTGGCCAACTTTTTACTTACAAAGGGTCACAGCTTCGTAGATAACCTTCGCAACTAGTTGTGTCCATGACATTACACATAGTGTGCAAAACTATACATAGAAACAAATCATATTATTAATGATACATGTACATTATGGGAGATTTTATAAAGAGCTGGCTTTGCCATGCTGGACAACTCTAAGTCACGTGATATGGTTATATACAAATTTAGAATACAGATTATGCAGGAGAAAGCTAAACATAAAACTATATAAGAAATTATATAAATGAATTCGTTACATGAACATCAAAAATGAATTAATGTATTAATTCTCCTCAAATCATACGAATCATTAATCAGACATTTAAGATGCATTATGGCAGATTAGATAAAGAGCTGGCAGTTCTCACTATAATAGTTAAAATCTAGAGGGAACTGAGATTTTAGCAATTGAATTTATGCCCTAGCCTCGATCATCATTACTAAATTCGGTACGATAAAAAACATAGTCTAGATTATCGATTTCATGATTAAATCATGAATGAAAGTTGAGTAGCAAAACTGATCCTAATCCAGTAAATATCGCAAGCTAGAGTTGACATCGAGGGTTGATTATGGCCTGGATCAGTTAATTAATGTCTAATAAATAATTTAGAAAACATTTTAGGCCTAAAGAAAGACCTGCAATAGGTAGATTTAGCTCTTGCATAATGTATGGTTAACTTAATCACACTCACCTTAATACCAAAATTTGCCAGGTTCCATGACAAAAATTCTCACTTCACAAATGGTCAATAATCAAACAGTTGAATAAATTCTCCTGGCCTACACTTATATCGAATTCCAACTACCAAGAGATCTTTAAATTCTGCCTGTTTTGTGAGAGTCTGTTGCCCCACACAGTATTGGTACTACTAACGATGAATATGATAGTATGATAGATAGACCATAGAGGTGTGGAGGACGAATGGTGTTACAGTGGGATCTTGCGCCGTAGGTGTAAAAATTAAATTCCCTGGTACATGTATATAAGTTTATTGATAGGAGTAAATTATTGTGAACGAGAGGATAAGAAAAGGGACAGAATCTCAAGGCCTTCATGTTAATTCTGCCTATTTTGTGACAGTTGACAGAAAATTCCTATAGTCTGTCGCCCCACGACTCACTAGTGACTACTGCTACTACTAACTGGGCAATGATGGGGATGATAGATTATAAGACCACAGATCAGAAGTGGAGGAAGAATGATGATATAATGGAATCGAGCATGTATTGTACCGTTACTTTATAGATTATGGTGGCTGATTGTATGAAAAATCACGTTTTTAGCTTGTGGACACTTTTAGAGGTCTGATTTTGAGGAAATTTGTAATAGATATTTATAACCTATAGATCTTGATTGCTTTCGATATATTTGTGCACATTGGACCGAACTTCATGGATTATGGCCCCTGATTGTAGAGGTCTGATTTTGAGGGAATTTGTAATGGATGTTTATGACTTAAAGTGACGAGGAGTCTGGTCGTCTGTCCAACCTCGTGGGTTTTCTCCGGGTCCTACGGTTTCCTCTCACTTCTAAAGACCCCTACGCGCAAGCGAATTATTGAAATAAAAAATTGAACCATGTGGTAGTCCCAAAATGGCCTAGTTGTGTCGAGTCAATGTTAAACCCCATTTCTCTCTCTCTGTCTCTATAACCAAAAGATCTTCTTTGCTTTCGATATATTTGCACACATTGGACCAAACTTCATGGATTATGGCCCTTGATTGTATGAAAAATCATGTTTTTAGCTTGTCACTCTAGAGGTCACAATTGTGATGAAACTTTATATTTATGTTATTTTTTGAGTTCCTTTCGATAATTGCACATATCAGAATGTAATTTCCTTGATTTCATGTACATGTATGACCTCAGATTGTAAGAAAAAACATTTTATTTAGTTTGTGGAACCCTCTAGAAGTCACAATTTGTATTCAATTTTAAAAAAACGTTACATCCTAATGATGGTCAAGATCAAATTTTGTGAACCAAAACGGACGACAGAAAGGCCGTTCTTGTACGCAAATAGCGTAAAAGTGTGTAATACCAATGTTGTGGATCCTCTCTAGAGGCCGGAATTGTTATCCGATTTTGATCAAACTAAAAATATATGTTCATATCCCACAGATCTGGGATCTGTTTGATATTTGCGCTAATCGGACTGTAACTTTCTTGATTATGGTCCCTTATGGTGTGAAAAATCGCTTTTCTGTTTAGCAAATGTGGGCGTATCTTGCATGGCAACCGCTTGTCATAAATTACATGAAGGTGGCCAGTATTGATGTTTATAAACCAGAGAAAGCTGATGTTATAATTTTTATATATTACAGGAAACTAATGATGTTATAACTTACCATCAATGTACAAAATGTGATGAAATTTTTCAACAATTAGATGATTTAGAAAACCACTACAAAGTCCATGCCAGGGAAGAGAAAACTGATGATGTAGTTAAATCTTGCCATGTTCAATTTATTAAAAAAGAGAAAACTGATGTAGATGAATATTGTCGTGTTAAAGAAGAGAAAACTGATGATGTAGATGAACATTGCCATGTTCATTTTGAAGAAGAGAAAACTGATGATGTAGATGAATATTGTCATATTAAAAAAGAGAAAACTGACGATATTGAAGCAATTTATCAGTGTAATTTGTGTGATAAAGAATTTAAATCAGAAACTGATTTAGAAAAACATTGTGAAGTACATGTTAAGAAAGAGGAACCTGTTTTACAACATGGTAAAAATTTGAAGACAAGTTTTAGTGAGAATAATGAAAAAGAGGTTCACAACCCAGAAGAGTTTAAAAAGTGTGATGTTTGCAGCAGGACCTTTATTAACAAATATTACTTACAAAATCATATGAGAACCCATACCGTAAAGAGACTCTACAAATGTGATGTTTGTGGTAAATTATTTATTAACAAAGATTTCCTTGAAATTCACATGCGCCGCCACACTGACGAAAACCGGTTTAAATGCGATGCTTGTAGTATATCATTTAAGGACAATAGTGATCTGCAGAAACACTGCAGAATTCATTCCAGGGAAAAACCTTATAAATGCGATGTTTGTAGTAAATCATTTAATAACAACAGTCATCTGCAGAGACACTCCAGATTTCATTCCAAGGAAAAACTTTATAAATGTGATGTTTGTAGTAAATCATTTACTGAAAACAGTGATCTGCAGAAACACTCTGGATATCATTCCAGGGAAAGGTCTTATAAATGTGATGTTTGTAGTAAATCATTCATTGGTGATAGTCTTCTACAAGGACACATCAGAACTCACACAGGTGAAAAACCATATAAATGTGATGTTTGTAGTAAATCATTCACTGAACAAGGTGCTCTAATGAGACACATGAGAAGTCATACTGGCGTAAGACCTTTTAAATGTGATGTTTGTAGTAAATTATTTGTTCATAAAAGTAGTCTGGTAAAACATGCGAGAATTCATACAGGAATCAAACCATATAAATGTGATGTTTGTAGTAAATCATTTACTCACAATAGTTATCTACAAAAACACATCGGAAGTCATGGTAGAGAAAAACCTTTGCTTGCGCATTACAAAGGGATTCATACAAGAGAAAAATCGCTGATTAATACCTCGTTAATCGATTATCCAGTCCAAATGTCTACTTAATCAAGGTAATTTATGAACTGTTTGACAGATTACATGATATTTCAGTCCCCAAGATATTTTGGACGAAGTAGGTGACAACTGGGCTACGGAAGACAACTGGGCTACGGAAGACAAGGAAATTTTGCGTTGATCCAACTATTAAGACCCGCTCTTATTTCAATTTCAAGGCATATTTTTCACATACAGCTACACAGGACCTCAGGTTTTCATCCCATAAAAATGACCAAACCACTGATTGTTAAGTGATCGTTAATCGATTATCCAGTCTAGAGCCCTGTTTAAACTTGGCCGCCATAAGCATGCCGTTCTCGGCACATTACCAGGTCGCGAAAAATTTCAAGAAATTGACCCTTTTACATTACTTTATAATAACAGGTCTCGGAATCGTGCCATGCACACCAAATGTGTGAACTCTTCACAGAAAAGTTCATTTCAGTCCCTATGAAAATTCCCTGGATGAAAACAATTTTGGCGATTGGTTTAGTTTGGACAGCCATTTTGACAGAACTGATGAAAGACCTGTCAGAGTTTGCGAAATAAAAGGTCAAGGTTCATTTGGCACATGCACAGTAATACGTACTGAAACTGTTCTCAGACCGGTTAGCATTTACACTACGAATATTTAAGCGTGCCGTGTCTGGTACCTTGCCAAGACCACCTCACTTCAGTGGGCCAGTTTACACTCCAAAAAAAACAAACAGTGCTGTACCTAGTACCGTGTCTGACACGCTGAAAATTTGTAATGTAAACGGAGTTTAGGTGTCTATTTAATCAAGGGAACTGTATTACCTGACTGTATAAATTTTACAATTGACCTGATCTTATATGGCAACCCCGATCTTTCAGATAATACCAATTCTAACATATTTGAAATAGTGCAAAAATTCATAAAAGACAGCAAGAGATTTTAACACTTTAACATTTAAAACTTAAAATTACACCCCATTAAATGTATATATGCTTGTAACTCACTGCCTGTACATATGTCCACCATTGTATTGTAAACATGAAATCTAACCCTTTTATATGTTTGAAGAGAACTTATATAGGCCTTTGCCTGTTGTTCAATTCAATTCAGTTTATCGAATAAAATATTGTTTAAAATAACTGTATGAATTATTTGACACATGTAAAGAACCAGAAGACCCATTGAAAACCCTCGAGGTTGGACAGGCGACCCTACTCCTTGTCACATATAACCGGGGATTCGAAACCACGCCAGTTGACTCAATGACAGGCCTTATGATACAGCGCGCATATGCTAACCATTCATCCATCAATCCCCCTGCCCAATAATGAAGTTACATCATTAATAAATCACAAACAGCTGTTGTTATAACTTTTATATATTACGGGAAACTAATGATGTTATAACTTTTATATATTTCAGGAAACTAATGATGTTATAACCTTTCATCAGTGTGTTGTATGTGATGAGATTTTTCAACAATATGATGATTTTGAACAACACCATAAAGTTCACATAAAGAAAGAGAAAACAGGTGATGTAGATGAATATTTTCATGTTAAAGAAGAGAAAACAGATGATGTAGATGAATATTTTCATTTTAAAGAAGAGAAAACTGATGATGTAGATGAATATTTTCATTTTAAAGAAGAGAAAACTGATGATGAAGATGAATATTGTCATATTAAGAAAGAGAAAACTTCTGAAGATATTGAAACTGTTTATCAGTGTAATTTGTGTGATGAAGAATTTAAATTAGAAACTGATTTAGAAAAACACTGTGAAATACATGTAAAAGTACCAGATGGGGAGCCTGTTTTACAATATGGTAGCCCTACAAAACAAGACGACAAATATACAAAAAATCATGGAGACAAAACAACTTTTGAATGTGATGTTTGTGGTCAAACATTCACTTTTAAAGGTAATCTACAGCGACACATGAAAACCCATACGAGAGTTAAACCATATAAATGTGATGTTTGTAGTAAATCATTCACTGAACAAGGTACGCTAACGAGACATATCAGAATTCATACAGGTGAAAAACCTTATAAATGTGATGTTTGTAGTAAATCATTTAGTCAGAAGGGTAACCTACGGCAACACATAAAAACTCATCCTGGCGAAAAACCATTTAAATGCGATGTTTGTGGTAAAAAAGTGATTGATTCGTCCGCTCTTCGAAGACACATGATAGTTCACATAGATGAAAAACCATATCATTGTGACATTTGTTTTAAATCATATGCTCAAAGTGGTTCTTTACAGAGACATGCAAGAAGACATGCCGGGGTGAAACCTTATAAATGTGATGTTTGTAATAAATCATTTAATAGGAAACATAATCTACAGATCCATGTGAGAATCCATATGGAAGAAAATACACGTCCACAGAGTCACGTGCGAATATATACTGGTGAAAAACTTTTTAAATGCGATGTTTGTAGTAAATCATATTTTGCAGAATGTAATCTCCAAACACATAAGCGAATTCATACCAGAGACAAGCATTATTTGTTGTAAATCATTTTCTCAGAGACTACAAAATGAAATGAAATTGTGTTTAAATCTTCTACTGTTCTGCTCCAACTGGGCTAATGAAGACGGGCATACTCCATACAGTGTGCTATGAGGGAAAGTTTGCCCGGGCAGCGACACGATGGCCTACTCATATATTGAATTTCAACTGCCAAGGGATCTTTTAAGTACATGCCAATGTATACATGGGACCTCGGTTTGTTGTACTATTCGAACGACGAGACACCTGTCTTTGTCTGGCCCTCCATCTTTCACCACTGACAAGGGGAAACCGAGGTCCCGTGTATATATTGGCAGTTGGAATTCGATATAAGAGTAGGCCGTAGCGCCGCTGCCCGGGCAAAATTCCCCCCATAACACACTGTATGGCGTATGTCCGTCTTCATTAGCCCAGTCGGAGCAGAACAGTAGGACCTTAAACCCTATTTCATTTCATTTAAGATATCATTTTAATTTGTTCAATGAAGAATCCTATTGAATTTCAGCGATTTCCCTTAATCCTTGAGTTGTAGAACCTTGTGAACAAACTGTTACAATGCGATTTGCATGAAATTGACAGGCATTATTAAAAGTAGCTAAGTCTCTAACTCAGTATCCCCCAAAGTCTTCGACATTGAAAACACAAATTATTTGTCAATTTAAATCAACATTGATGTTGTGATCTTACTGGGAAAATATTGGCTTCTGATATTGTGTACCATAATGTGTTTCAGCGCCATTTGTAACAAGGGTCTCAACGAATGAGGCTAGACATATTCAATAAGTCATGTCAAACAGTGACACCATATTCTTATCTGGATAGCATGCACAATAAATACTATTGGTGTAGACTTTAATAACCAGACACTAGAGATTGCCATTCGATTGATACTTCTGCCATATTTCGCCGAACATAACTGATTAGAAATTACAGTAAAAACAGAAACGACTGAATGTAAATCAGTTTATATACATGTACATTCATATTACATTATTATACATGTATGCATTGCAACCCATTTGTGTTAATTTCTAGGTCTCAAATATTAGCGATTTAGCTCCTTTAAATTAGTTCAATGGAGCAGTCTATCGATTTTCAACAGTTTTTGTCAATCAATTCTAGAGTTAAAGACCTCGTTGTGTTTCTTATCTTTGTAAATACTTTCACAAGAACTGCCACAAGCTAAAATAAAAAAAACAGAAATGAAATGAAATGAAATGGGGTTTAACGTCCTACTGTTCTGCTCCTATACTGGGCTAATGAAGACGGGCATACGCCATACAGAGTGCTATGAGGGAAATTTTGCCCGGGCAGCGGCACTATCGCCTACTCTTATATCGAATTCCAACTGCCAGGGGATCTTTTACGTGCATTCCCATATATACACGGGACCTCGGTTTTGTGTCACATCCGAAGGAATAGACAGCTGTCCTTGTCAGGGAAACCACGTCGGAAAATCCTGATGAACTTTCTCGGCCAATGCCGGGATCAAACACCCGACCTCCAGGGCTAGCGAGCCAGCGTCTTACCCACCTAGTCACCGTGGCTCCCAAAATAAAAACCAGATGGGAAATAGTGAAGGATCGGTAGGTAGTTGTCTTGTTTTTCAAAATTATATTGTGTGCTTGTAAAGATGATACGGGCAATAAAACACCACTTATATTAAAGTTTTATTTCATTTCGTTTTTTTTTATAGTTCAAAATTTCATTTACATGTACTTGTTTTCACAACACTAGGATCTGGAAGTGCTGTTATATAACCTGCATTCTGGATTATGTTAGGGATAAGCGAATGAAATCGTCTGTTACAGCGAATTCTTGGCGTGAGGTGCACGGAACCACTAGAAACATCAATGCTGATTGGTTAAATGAAAGGTAAAGCTTTCAGTAATTTTTGTCTAAAGGTAAACCACCTTCAACGCGTACTAACCATCATGATTTAATGGCAAAAATCTTCATTAGTAAAAGGCCGAGGATCAGAAGGGAACCGTGTCAGTTTTAAAGTGCATATATATTACAAAGAACAACAAGTTAAATGGTTACTTCTAAATATTAAGGCCATCTGCAGATTTCATCAAGGTCACCAGGTGTAAACATGGCTAGCCCTAATCCTAGTTGTAATCCACAATCCCCGACAACAAGGAGGTCTAAATATTATGGTCACCTCCAGATTTCATCAAGGTCACGAGGTATAAACAGGGCTAGCCTAGCACTAACCCACAATTCTCGACAACAATCATATGCCCTAACCCTGACAAAACCAGTAGGTGGCCTTAATATTTAGACCTGACAACAGTTAAATGAACATTTCCCACAATGGTATCAGAAATGGGTAAATTTAAATGAATGAATTGGATGACATCAATTACACTACAACATTATAAAATTTAAATTTGGTTTTTTGCTTCAAAACATCTCACAGTAGATGATGTACACAACTAGACTCTATCAACCAGTCTCTCACACTAGATTATGTGCACAGCTAGACCAAATCTACCTGTCCCTCACAGTAGATTATGTATACAGCTAGACCCAATCTATCAGTCTCTCACAGTAGAATTATGTATACAGCTAGACCCAATCTACCAGCTTCCCGCAGTACATAAAACACATAACTAGACCCAATCTACCAGTCCCTCACAGTAGATATATCACCAGAATGAATTCACATGTGCTGCTGGATATTACAAGCTAGGTTGACAGATTTACAAAACAACATTAAATTTACAGCTATGGTGACACTGGATAGCAGGTGATGAACACTTGTACACAAAAGGGGAGTATGAGAAGGGGTATAGAACATGTGACCTCCAGTCTTAATCACTTGGCCACCGTGGGTGGCTACCTGAAATGAAATGAAATGGTGTTTAACATCCTACTGTTCTGCTCCTATACTGGGCTATTATCCATTTTTATGGTGAATCATCAACCGCTGTTAACTGAAGATCGGATTGAGAGCTGTTGAAAATCTAGACATTGAGAGTTGATTAAGATCTTGGGAAGTTAAACATGCATTATGCAGGAGCTAAATCTGCCTATTGCAGGTCTTTGTTTAGGCCTGAAATGTTATCTAAACTATAAATTAGACATTTATTAACATAACAAGATCATAATCAACTCTTGTGCGATTGTTTTTGTTTATTCATTTAGGGGGATCACGTGGCTAAGTGGGTAAGACGCTGGCTCGCTAGCCTGGAGGTCGGGTGATCGATCCCTGCATTGGCCAAGAAAGTTCATCCAGATTTTCCGGCGTGGTTTCCCTTGTCAGTGATGCAGGACGGAGGGCCTGACAAGGACAGCTGTCTAGTCATTCGGATGGTACAAAAAAACAAGGTCCCATGTACATATTGGCGTGCACGTAAAAGATCCCATAGCGGTTGGAATTTGATATAAGAGTAGGCGATAGTGCCGCTGTCTGGTCAAAATTTCCCTCATAGCACACTGTATGACGTATGCCCGTCTTCATTAGCCCAGTTAAGGAGCAAAATAGTAGGACGTTAAACCCCATTTCATTTCATTTCCCAAACCACAAAAGTAAAGCCATATTTTGGAATGTTTTCTAGTAGCTGCACAAACGGACCGGAATGAATTGCTCATGGCCGCAATGGAATTTTTTTGGGTATTTCATTTCTGCACCCTCTTAAGGAATCTGTTTCACAGAGAATTACGAGTTCTCTTATATCTCTGTAAAAGATGACTGCCTTTAACACGTGTCGTCACAGCACACGACATCAATCATTGGCTGAATGGCGCGTGCATTGTTTACATAAGACGTTACTGCTTCGGGCAGAATGCTGCCTTTTAGTCATTTTAATAACCATTTACACTAAATAAGAAATAATTTTTACCTACAAATACGTCAAACGTCTTTATATATTTTCTAATACATCAAAAAATGTTTTAGAATTGAATTTGTCGGTGGAAAAAAGTTAATATTTGAGACTCATTAAGTCGCATTGATGTCATCCTTATCAGTGATTGTAGCGGCCTAGCGATTATTCACTGCTGACCAGTGTGCCCCTTAAGCGGACCGGACTGAACACCTAGGGCTAGATTCAAGAAATATTTGCAAATCATATTTTAACACAGGAAATCAATACACAGCATCATTGCGACACAACATGAAGACTAAAAATCGGCAGATCCAAGTCTTCTCCTATTTACAGGACAATAATTGACGAAGTTTGATGAAATAATAATGTTTTATTTGATTTCGATTATTGTTATTTATTCTATAACTACAATGAATACAGCCATTGAATAACATAATATTCAATGGCTTGGCCACGTACTACTTTTGTCCAGAATGACGTCACTTTCAGAATTACATCGAACTGTATTGACGTCACCACTAGCAACCATAATTTTTGTAAAAAAAGAAAGAAAAAAGGGCGGAACCTATGATGAATTTTAACGTTATCGGTGATTTTGTTTTTGATAATCTGGATAGTACAATGTATTTTGAGATTTACAGTTAGTTATAGAATAAAAACAGAACTCAATGGTCAGTGAGTTCTATCTATATCCATTATGATTTGCCTTGTTTATATTTCATTTGAACCTAAGTCATGACATTTTAATGTGTATGTAATATATGAAGAGTCCAGGGGAAGAACGATCTAAGTCACAGTTTTGTCCTTTTGCATAAAAGGCTAAACAGACTTTTGGACGAGAATGCTTGACGCGAACAGAACAACGAGTGGGATTAAAGTTGAAATTTCATATTTTTAACTTATATTTTTAAAATTTATTAAAATAAATCCTTAAAATAGATGTTATCTATAAACAGTCCTACCTTGTTAAAGAATAATCCTATAATTCACTATTGCCAGTTGAGAAATTGGCAAAAGTATCATTTTCATCTTTAAATTCCAACGTTTGAAGATAACTACTCCATATTAAATAGATTAGAACAATTCGGCCATATTTTGATTGAAGCTAAAAATGCAGGAGCGAGACTTGGCTTCGAACAACCAGTACGGTGGTTGAAATTATTGCACACGTCTTGTTATACCTTCAAAGGCTAATATCTTCGCTGCTCGCAATATAGTAATTTGAATGAAATTTTCAAATTATTCATTTTACATTATCTATTTTCAAACTGTTATAGCAAGAATGGCTAGTATACAGGTCACAATTCTATGGAATACCATTACTGCCATTGAAACAGTTTAAGAATGGCTAGCTCTTTATCTAAATCTTACATAATGTATCATTAACCGGTGTTAGTTACATTACAATAATGCTTATAAAAACAATCAATTCGATGAACAAAAAACCTTGGTTAATAAATATCAGTATCGTGGCATTTATTCAAATAGCAATAAAAATATAGCATCAATGAGGGGAGGACGGTTAGCGCTTCCCCGTGTGTGCCATTTGTACGCGCCAACCGGCTTAGTTTAATGTGTTGAATTAATGGGCAGGGTGGTTGGCGCTTCCCAATAGGGGAATTCTTATCCGCCGTTCTGCCGTGTATTTTAACCGATTAGTTCAGTTACCAGGGGGAGCCACGGTGTCTAAGTGGGTAAGACGCTGGCTCGCTAGCCTGGAGGTTGCGTGTTCGATCCCTGCATTGGCCGTGAAAGTTTCTCGGGATTTTCCGACGTGGTTTCCCCTTGTCAGTGACGCAGGACGGAGGGCCTGGAAAGGACAGCGATCTAGTCGCTCGGATGGTCCGAAAAACCGAGGTCCCGTCTATACATTGGAGTGCACGTAAAATATCCTTGACGGTTGGAATTCGATATAAGACTAGGCCATAACATAACACACTAGCATATGCCCGTCTTCATTAGCCCACTAGGAGCAGAACAGTAGGACGTTAAATAAAATTTCATTTCGATAACATCTTAAAGTACCTTTCACCCGTCTTGGAGCTATTCATAAATAATGCCATTGCAAACAGGTGGACAATACGGAGCCCCTTAAATGCACGATTCCACTTTTATATATTTTTTTCGTGCATAATTCCACTCTTATATAATTATTTCGTTTAAACGAAATACTAATTCGTTATAACGAAATACTAATTCGTTATAACGAAATATTAATTCGTTATAACGAAATATTAATTCGTTATAACGAAATATTAATTCGTTTAAACGAAATATTAATTCGTTATAACGAAATAATTAATTCGTTTAAAAGAAATCATTAATTCGTTTAAACAAAATAATATTTCGTTATAACGAATTAATATTTCGTTATAACGAATTAGTATTTCGTTATAACGAATTAGTATTTCGTTTAAACGAAATAGGTAATTCGTTATAACGAAATAATTAATTCGTTTTAACGAAATATTAATTCGTTTTAACGAAATATTAATTCGTTTTAACGAAATAACTAATTCGTTTAAACGAAATAACTAATTCGTTTAAACGAAATAACTAATTCGTTTAAACGAAATAACTAATTCGTTTAAACGAAACAACTAATTCGTTTTAACGAAATAATTAATTTGTTATAACGAAATAATATTTCGTATTAACGAAATAATATTTCGTATTAACGAAATAATATTACTCGCCATGTAAAATTCTTTGTTTACCCTACTGCGCAAGTCACAAAAACGGGACTTTATCCGGTTGTATATACAACAAAGACGTGAATATATCCAACCCGAACAGCTCACAATCGAAGTAATCGAAGTAATCGAAGTAATTAGTCTGCA